GAGCTGCAGGTCTGGGTTTGGCTGCACAAAGGCACGTTCGAGCACCAACTTAGTGTACCCCTGTTCACCTAGGAGTCGAGGCCGCTTAAATGGTCACCTGAACAACTGGATGCAACGGAGTGGTGCGCTTACGTCAACAAAATTCGGTATGAGAAATTGAATGTTATGATTATATCCGGAATCGGAAAGCTACTGTGTGGCAGCTACCCCGCAACATCAGGATTTCACTTTACTTTTCCACTAATAACTTAAAAGTATGTGATTGCAGAGAATTGCAGGAAACCGGCAAGAAGATGAACCATACATTTTAGAACAGCGTAGGTACGAGAACAAAATTTACCAGGCCGGATCCATGAAAACATATTAAGGTACATTGCTCATGTACTGAGGAAATGAAGTATCAGTGTAAGAAGTAAAAATAGTCATAGCGACGTCTCTGACACTAGAGGCATAAGCTACTTCTAGGGCGTGGCAGTCGCTGGTTAAGAAGAGACGAGAAGAGTGTACTAAGCAGTTAATAAACCAATGCATTCTTATTGACAGAGGGCAGAAAAATTTGAAACCGCACATTGATCAGATAACCCTGGCAAATTCTCTTCAAAGGAGGTATGTATTCAGTGACAGCCAGAAATTATTCTAAGTCGATACGCCATTTTCAGATTGATTTTAGTGCGTCTCACATTTGTGCGGATAAATACAGATGGTGGCACCTAATCCGTCCATTTGCGATTTTGATCGGGATATCACAGACAAACTTTTACAAAACGCCTGAGGAACTCTGTCAGCAGCGGCTACTGCTACTTCAATAGCCATCCATTCTTGAGCGGGTTACAAGAATTCACGATACCGTAACGGTCGAGGAAAACATCTTCCTTGTATTTCGGGCTTCAAGGTGGTGATATCTGGTGTGCGTTGAATAGGGTTATTTAAAGTAAGTGATGCGCACTCTGAAGAAGCTTCAAATGGAACGGGAACGAGGTTTTCGTTTAAACTTAAATTTCATTCATAATTACTGAAATAAATACGTATTCAGTTGTGATTTATGGTCAAAACAAATTAACGACGGATTGACGAACACGCGACTACCATTTAATACTGAGCAAGATCAATGATCATCTATCTCGTTGTGGTGAACCATCT